GTTCGCTTTTGTTCTCACCATCAATTTTTTGTTTGTCAAATTGTGGTCATGGTCAAGCAAGACAAAAATAAAATAAGAAAAGAACAAGTCAATGACATAAACAAGTGATTAATTAGGGAATACTGAAACTTTTTTTTTCTTTGTTCATTTGAAGATACAAGGTTGAAGTAAACAAACTTATCCTAGGATTTTTATATATGCCAAACGGAAATGAATATGCCCACATAAAACAACTAGAGTTCATACAAAGTACTAAACCCCACAGCTAATATTAATTGATTCATGTCATTTGTTCGCTAGCAGGAAATCAAGAGAATTTTGAGAGCTTTTTTAGATAAATAAACATTTATATTCTGTCTTTATATGAGACTCTGTATTTCTGATAAGAAAGATGTTAATAAATCTTTAAATTTCATATTTAAGTGTATCCTGCAAAATTTTGGTTTAATATATATTATATTAATTTTTTTTCAAGTATATATGTCGATTAATGTATGGATTTGTTGATTTTAGTTTAATTATTAATTTTTTACGTTGTTTTTGTTGTTGGCAAAATCTGATCTAATTGGAAAAAACCGACTTAATTTGCCTGAAATGAAACTTGATAAAATAAAAAATTATTTTATTATAAAATTACAATCCTTTTGCCAAATTAAAAATTTATATTTGATGCATTATCCATATATAATATCTCACAATGATATTTCATAAAGAAATTAATTTTAAATATATTTTTAGAATTAAATGTATATGCTTTGTATGATATTAAAATTTTAAAATTAATTTTGTTATGAAATATTATTGTATGATTATATATTAATAGTATATTAAATATAAACTTTAAAATTAATTACAGTTTATATATATATTAAATAAACTAGAGTTTGCTTTTACGCAATGCCACCCGAAACAATTTTTAAAAATTAAATTTGCATATGCTTATTTTAAGGGCTTAAAAATATTATATATTTTTTTAAGTGAGATCATATGATTTATTGATAATATATAAAATTTATACACAATTAATGCATCGAATATAAACTTAATTAATTAACTCAATTAATCTCATATTCATAGAATAAAATTAATTTGTGATTAGCAATCCACAACCGCAAACATTATGGCACATGGACCAACCTAATTGGCTTGATGGTAGCTCTTTTTAACCATCTTTTTCGTCCATCTAGTTGACCTCTTAGATGCAATTGTGGACACCTTAAATTCAAAACATTTTCTCAAATCCCATTAACTTTTGTTTATTGTAGCCATCATTAAACTAATCAAAATCACGATAATAATCATAGATTGCTAAAATAAGAATAAAAAGAGCAATATCAATCCTAATTTTTATTTTTTAAAGTTTCTGTATAGGTGGAAGTGATGATGATTATGATGAGGAGAGATACACAGGTAAGTACAACTTAGTTTTCCAAAGGGCAAGGATAAGGTTTTCTATTATATCTTCTTCAAGGGTTTGCTGGCTGTCTACGTATATATTTGTCGAATTTTGATGTGTGTTGGATATTGGAAAAAAAAGTGATGAATATAGGCATCTGATCTATCTAAAAGGCTTTTGCTTACATTGTTAAAATGAGTTGTCCACGTAAAAAATAAATTTTTTCATATGTTATGAGTCAAAATAGAACCATTTCATCAAATGAAACAATTCAGAAATTAAAGACGAAAGTGAAATCAAATTGTAAAGTTAGGAATGATTAATGAATTTTATCTGTTGAGTCACTACCTTGACAATTTATATAAAAAAGGTTCAAATAAAAAAATATATTATAAATATTGAGATTTGAACTCTACAAGTCAAATTTGCTTAATAGCATTTTAAAATAATTGTACAAATTATAAGAGATAGATTTAAGAGGAATAATTCTAGAGAAAAAAAATAATAAAATGCTAGAAATAAAGAAAAGTTGGAATAATTATAAAAGCAAAAGGGAAGTTATTCAGTCAAAATGCGAGGAGTAGTTGCACCAGACATTGAAGATGTTACTTTGTGTTTTTATGGTTAGCGTAAACCCCCAAAAGAGCAAATAGTTTATTGGTAATGTCATCAAACTTATATGTGTGTGCATATATATATATATATATATGTATGTATCTATGTGTGTATACTTGGTGAAGGTTGAGAAGCAACCATCCCAGAAACTGTTAACAAGGGACAAAGCTTCTGGCTCTCTCTCTTACATCTGACCACAGATGCAGAATATTCTTTAAATTATTATAAATAAATAAATACATAAATGACTAGAACTTTTATGCAATGCACTCCCAGTTGTATATACAGTTAAATTATTATATTCTTTTGGATCAGTTCTTAAACTTTTTTTTTTTTATAAAAAACTGTAAATTGAGATAGCAAAAAAGTTATAGGTGCTAAGATTTGAATTATATATATATATATATTAGATGTCACATTTTAAAAGTAATTATAAAAATCAATTGAGTTAAATTTTGAATTCTTATCTTATGTTTTTATGGCATGGAACTCTTTAGTCTTAAACTTAGAATCAAAAGAATTTGCTGTTTGAGTTAACAATTCCAGCAAGTTATGTACTTATCTATTTTATGACGGAATTTTTAGGATTAATAATCTTTTAAAACTTCTAGTATCTTCCACAAGACATAAGTTCCAGTTGATGAGATCAAACCATCTTAGTAGATAGGAAAAGGAACATCAAAACAAACAGTTTACGGTTTTGAGTCTTTGTCTTGGCTTAGATCATCCTTTGCCATACCACCATAAATGTTTTCTTTTCTGTGTTTTCCAAAAAAAGAAAAAATGACTAAAGATTAGCTACCTGATTCACTAGGTGTATTAATCGACAATATTCACATAAAGAAAATGGAGACCGTAACTTGGGAGTGAGGGTTATAGCTACTAATACCACTTGGACGAATGTATGAACCAAATAAACTAAATTTCGATTTCATTAGTAGCATTAGTTAGTAAGTAATTAAATGGAAAACAAGCTATCCAACAAGGCAAAATCATTATCAACTATCTGGCCTCAGGATCCTTATCTTCCAGGTTGGGAAACACTGACAGGTTTTGGAAGAGACTAGAGATCAGGTTACAAACAAGGAATGTCACAACCACATCATGATTTGGTACTTAACACCATTCCTGATTTGTCATCTACTGCTTGAACAAGTCAGTTTCACATGCCAAAGCCCTACATTTATTTTTTCCAAACTAAAGCACTATAGTGATATCGGCAGAGATAGATGAGTTTTTATTCTACTTTTCTTTCTTGTTTTGAGAACCAAAACACAGGAAAGAATAAAGAAACCATGGCTTGATAAGGGAAAAAGGAAAAAGAGAAAAAGCCAAAAGCAACATAGAGAAACATGGGTTCATGCTGCTTCTTACTAATCAACTATTAGACAGGAATAAGCATGTGTTTAGCTTATGCCAAAAGCATGTGCTGGCACTATTGAATAACATTGAGAAAACAACTGCACCCATTGGAAGAACTTGGTTAGAGAATAGTTTAATCAAATCCGCCCAAAAAGTGAGTTAAAGAAACTCTTGGAATCTCTCTCTTTCCATCATGGTAATTTTTTTCCTACCTGGAAATGGTTACTCCATGTGGCATTGACTCAAACAAGTAGCTTAAGGATGACAGCAAAATTTACCACCCAAATCGCGTTTCTAATCATTAGGGGCCCAAATTTGAAGGGGTTGGGCGGATGGCTGCCCTCCCTTTTGCACGCTTATGCCTGGAGTTGACGATGTGCTTAAGTGGCTCCAAACTTATCTCAAAATGCAGGTGATGATGCTTCAAAAAAAGCCAAAGTTCATGAGTTTAGCCTTGTCTTTAATTTAATTAATGAGTTGGATCTATAAAAATAAGCCATGATTTCCTCATTGAAAAACATAATTAATTTAATTTTGAAGCAAGTCCTGCTCAATTTAAAATTAATTATTATGTTGATGATAATATTGATAATGAAGCTGTGCTAATGACATAACTATGAATTTCTCTCCTGATTACCTGTAATACAAGACCCTGAGAACCGATTATGAATAAGGTTGACCTAACTCAATCCATCGCCGTAGACTGAAACTGTGCAATTAGCATATCATGTTAACATTTAAGACTTTACTCTGCAAATTTTTTTTTCTGCTCTAATAACTATAATAACAATTAATTATTGTCTCATTGTAAGGTCTAACCTTCATTTTAAATTAAAATTATAATGTAAGGTTGCGTTTGGTGCCTTCCTATGTCATGGTTTTAATGGAATGCGATTGTTATGAATGTGAATTTTAGAAATTAAATTGTTAAAAAATAACATTACAGCATTTAGTATACATAAGAAAGTATTGATTAAAATCATGAGAAAGTGTAGTTTACTTTTTCGCAATAAGACACATTAACTTTTTCACCCTTATAGGGGAATCATATTACCGTGTTTTATGCAAATTTGATGCACATAAGAAATTTACATTAAAAAAATGTAACATATCAAACATGAAAATTTGATTTCCACCAATTAAAATCCAAAAAAAGTGAACAATTATACCATACCAAACACCCCCTAAAACAAAAGAATAAGTCATGTGAGTGTTTGCGAAAATCACACGGTCGTTGATTAAAATTAGCTCCAAATAAGCAAAGGAGCTCGAGGTTCTTGTAGTCATTGTCATGGGAGAATATACACAATCTAAGAACCCTAGATGAAAGCTAAGCCAAGAAAATCTGATCTGTAAGTTTTTGATTGGTTTATCTGTAAACATAAAGACTGGCTAGCACGAATTTATAGGGAAATTGGTCGGTGGGGTGACCTTACTCTTTTGAACAAAAGGCAGATCTGACTCGGACGATAACTTTGCTTTTATGAACATAAAAGTTTTCAATAAATATTATTTTAGTCAGCTTTAGCAGAAACCTTCAGACTTAGGCTTAATACATAAAGCGTAGTACTTTCATTTGCATCATTTCTATCTCCTTCTCATTTTTGTTCTGTTTTCGGCCAAAATTATGAGTGTGGAAGATCAATTTCCTAAAACGGAAACCTTCATGAACAAGGAGTGGCCGTCTTATATTAATGGTACGACAAGAGGTCCAAAAATTTTCAATGATCCAATCATTTGCGGTGCTTTAACTAGGATTGCTTGTCACAGAAATGGAAGTGGCAGTGGAAGTAAGTCTTCATCATCATCATCACTTGATAGGCTGCTTTCAAGTTCCGATTCCAGTTCTTCAGCAGAGGAGGCTCCTGGAGCCAGTTTGTTGAAAAACATTCCTGGATTTATCAGACAGGATGTTGTCATTGAACACCATTCAAGTTCATTTGTTTCAGGGTTTAGTTCTGTCCACCCGCCTATGAACTTTTTGGAATCCCTCCCAAAACTAAACAAATCTCAAGTTACCGAACCAACTTCGCCATCTTCCATGTCAACCACATCAGAATTCCCAAATTTGACTTTGTTTTTGCAGGAACCTACCATGTTAGATCCATCCACAAGCGTCATTGATTCCATTGGCAAGAAGAGTGAACCTGCATCGACCTCGTCTCAATACCTTCCATTCCACATGCCTCAAGATCAACCAGGCAATGAATGGCTTAGAATCAACCAGGGTTTGACAAATTATCCATCCAAAGTTTTTAGTGACTATTTGCTTAGCAGTACCAAGACTCAGCCTATGAAGAACAGTGGACGCAGATTGCAGAACCAGCACCAAAAACGTTCATTGCCATCAGGATCATCACCTGGAAAACTATTCAGAGGGGTAAGGCAAAGGCATTGGGGAAAATGGGTCGCAGAGATACGGCTACCAAGAAATAGAACAAGGGTTTGGTTAGGGACCTTTAACACTGCAGAAGAAGCTGCTATAGCATATGATACAGCAGCATACATGTTGAGGGGAGAATATGCACATTTGAATTTTCCAGATCTTAAGCATCAACTCAAGCCCAATTCTTTAAATGGAAACACAGCTTCACTTCTTGAAGCCAAGTTGCAAGCAATATCACAAGGCATTTATGCTAACAAGAAGTCCAATAATCCATCTCCGACACTGGCAAAAGTCAACGATTTAAACCAAAACACAGCGAAAAGAGACTGGCAATTTGAGCTGGAGATAAATGCAGGATCTGAAGTGAATGAAATTAATAAGAAAACTCAGGAGATTCTATCATTAGATGTGGATGCTGTACAGTTAAGTAGAATGCCTTCGTTGGACATGGATATGATCTGGGATGCTCTTTTGATCTCAGATTCATGAAATTTGCCCTTAATTTTCATACATTTGAAAGAAAAAAATGTGATTCATATTTTGCAGTCTTATTTTATTTAATCTTTGATCTGGTATATTTATATCAGCTTTTCGTAGCATATAATCACATAGTCAATCAAAATTTCCATATGGAACAGAACAGGCCAAATATTTTGGTTCATTTCCTGTTCTGTCCTCTTTATTTTTTCCTTTTACTTTCTTCTTTCTGGTTTCATTCTGATTCCAAGTTTTTCTGTTTATGCAATTAATGTTGTTAATTGGATTTTACAACTTTTATATTGTGCCAGAATCAAGATGTTGGACCTTAAACCATTGTTGTCTTTGTTTTTTTAGCAGTTTGGTAATAGAGTACAGAGATAAGAAGCTGACAAAATTTAGAGTGGAAAGGGTCATCATGAAATGGGCCCATTGTAAATTACAAAAGCCTATAATAAAAAGATAGAATGTTTTAATGGTTCTTGAGGCCCGTTGTCTAGGCAACTACCCCAAATTTGGCAGCACAGGTACTGACATCCTTCCGTTTTTCTTTTTGTTTTGCTTGTTAGCAAGGCATTATAAAAGCGGCCGAGTACGATGATATTACAGTTCAATCAAAGATATCGATGTTTTTTGAGTGCTTTGGTGATATCCAATTGGACTTACTTGGAAAGAGGCCCTAGCATCGTATTCTATCTAATTTCATGTTGGGGGCATGGTGAGTCCACATTTTGGCATTTGAGATACGGCCACTTAAGTTTTTAAGGCCTTAAATTATTAAATCAAAAGCATATGGTGATTAGGCTCCCATCTCTATCATATGAAAAGAAACTTCGTGAAGGATGTATTCTTGAAAAAATGCATAGACTGCCTTCCACAAAAACATCTTGGAGAGCAAAAGCTCCTCTACATTTGGTGCATACTGAAATATGACGTCTCTCAAGAAACCTCACTCTAGGAGGAAAGAGATATTTTATTCTCTTTGTTGAAGATTATACCCGCATGATGTGGGTTTATTTTATTGAACAAAAATCGGATGCTTTCTCATGTTTTGTTAAATTCAAAGCATTTGTTGAAAAGCTAAGTGGGCATTCTCTCAAAATTTTGAGAACAGATCGTGGGGGAAAATTCAATGACTATAAATTCATAAATTTTTGCAAGGAGCATGGCATAAAAAAGGAGCTTACCAATCAGTATACACCACAACAAAATGGTGTTGCCGAAAGGAAAAATAGAATAATTCTTGAAATTGCATGAGCTATGCTCTAAGGCAAACAATTGCCAAAATATCTATGGGTTGAGGTTGTTAACATAGCTGTTCATATACTTAATAGATCTTCCATAAGGGCATTAGAGAAAATAACTCCTTAGGAGGCCTGGTTCAACAGAAAGCCAAAAGTTGATCACTTTAAAATTTTTGGCTGCATTGCCTATGCCCACATTCCAAAAGAGAAACGAGAGAAGCTTGATGAGAAAGGAGAAAAATGCATTTTCATTGGATACAGTGAAGAATCAAAGGGATACCATCTTTTCAAGCCAGAGACAAAAGAATTGATAATTTCCAGAGACGTTATTTTCGATGAAGGTGTCAACTAGAATTGAAGAAGTGAAGAAACCAAAGAAGTTCGAGTTCTTGAAGATGCGGAGGAATTACCAAGTGTCGCAATGATTTGAAGGACCACTAGACGAATTTGAAAACAAAAAATAAAGTTGTCATCAATTTTTTTTGTCAGGTATTATTGATCACATATTAAAATTTATCTTTGTAAAAAAAATTTAAAATTAATTAAAATTTATTAAAAAAATAAATTTTGGGTCTATAAAAACAGTTTGAGTTTATAAATCGATTGCGTGGGGAAGGACTGGCACCCTCACAACGTCTGTTTAAAACGGTACCAATTAATTATATGTTATTTTTTAATTTTGATTAAAAGGGGTTTTAGTTTTGATATTTAAAAATTAATTTTCTTTAAAAACATTTTTATTTTTTTGTATGCTTGAAAAATAAATAAAAACCTTACATATTGAAAAATCCCTAAAAATATTCCAATACTTTAGCAATATTAAAAGAAACCATTTCACTTAAGAAATTTTTAAGAATCATTACTTGAAATTCTAAAAAATCCTATGTTCAGTGGTTCATATTTGCTTCCAATATTTATATTAAAAAGCCATAAATTATAATACTATAGTTTAAAATCAAATGATATTTTCTAAAAAAATAATTTTTATGTTATTAAAAAAAAACGAAAAATCTTTATCGAAGATTAATCTAAATGCTCCAATACATTGGCAACATTTTAAAAGAAATTTTTTACTTAGAGATTTTTAAAGAATCACTATTCGAAGTTCTTTTAGATTTGATCCCTAAAAATTTCATATCTATCTTTTTTTAATATTTAAAATAAATTTATTTCCTAAAAAAATTGCATATTCTTATAAACATTTTATATTTTTTATCCTTTTTTTAAATGTATAAATTAAAGAAAAATAAAAATCTTTGCATTGAAAAGAATTTCTAAATATTCTAATACTTTGGCAATTTTAGAAATCTTTTCTTACTTAAAGAATTCTCGGGAATCACTACTTGGATTTCTTGGAGTCTTATCATCGAAAAAAAATTTTCTCTCTTTTTTTTTATTATATGTATAACATTTTTGGAATAGATATATTGAACTTTATTATTATTATTATTATTGTCATAACGTCTAGATCCGTGAATCTATCGCTAGACATTGACTTAAGGGAGTCACCACCAATCTTTTTTATCTAGGTGTGATTGGTCACCTAAAGAATCTGTCCTTTTAGGGAACACCTAAATTTAAGGGTCCTTAAAAGAATAGGTTCAGGTCTACTAATCAGAACATGGTTTGGAAGTTCGATTACATATGAGGAAGGTTATAATACCCTCACAACGTCCATTAAAAGATGGTACCAGCTTAATTTTGTGTTATCTAATAAGCCTTAAAAATGTATCAAGTAATTAGTTATTGGAAACTATTTTCAATTGACTCTAATACTTTTAGCAGAAATTTGAGAAAAATTTCCTCACCTCAAGAGTATGCAAGAAAATTATTGTTTCACTTGCAGAGGCTCCATCGTTGGATTATTTGACATTAAGAAAAATTTTAAAAAGAAAAAAAATGATTGCTTTTGTACAAGAAAAAATTGATATTTTAAATTTTTTCCCAAAAATATTCTTTTGAAACTTTAATTTCGAGAAAATTGATACTTTCAACTTTCCCTCAAAACCTCCTTTTTTTCGAAAATTTTATTTTTAAGAAAAATTGATACTTTCAACTTTTCCTCAAAAATATTTTTTTTGAAAACTTTTAATTTCAAGAAAAATTGATACCTTCAACTTTTCCTCAAAAAAAACCTTTTTTTGAAAATTTATTCTTAAGAAAAATTGATACTTTCAACTTTTCCCTAAAAATATTTTTTGAAAACTTTTAATTTCGAGGAAAATTGATATTTTCAACTTTTCCTCAAAAAAAAACTTTTTTTGAAAATTTATTCTTAAGAAAAATTGATACTTTCAACTTTTCTTAAAAAAAAAATCTTTTTTTTGAAAATTTATTCTTAAGAAAAATTGATACTTTCAACTTTTCCTCAAAAAAATCTTTTTTTGAAAATTTATTCTTAAGGAAAATTGATATTTTCAACTTTTTCCTAAAATGTTTTTTTTATTTTATTTCAAGAAAATAAAATAAATAAATAAATAAATAAAATGAAAATAAATAAAAAAATCATAATATAATAACAAATAAATAAAATAAAAATAAAAATAATAAAAAGAAACGAAAAAAAAAGCTTGGGAATGGCTCAGCTAAAGGCTCGGCTCGGCTCAGTTTGAGGAAGAAAAACGGCTCTGAACAGCGACTCAAAGGATCGTCGACTCGCTCGCTAACGGCTCGGCTACGGGGTTGAATGCGATCGAACGGGTCGAGCTCGGTTGTCAAATTCGATCTTGGCAAATGGTCGGTCCCCTAGGTTACTTAACCAAACTATGTCATTTTGGGAGGTATATAAGGTTGGTTCCTTCATTTTTTTAACAGAACCCTTCTTCTCTTCTCTCTCTTCCCTTCTTTCTTCTCTCTCTTCTCTCTAGAATATGAAGAACTTCGGTTGAATATTCACCAGATTTTGAAAATTTTTGTCGGAATCTAGATTTTCGTCGAAAGTTCACCAAAAAGTTGGTCGGGTTCTAGGAATTCTCACCAGAAACTGGACGGCTGGCCGAAAACTTCAAACTTGGCTAAAATAGTCATCGAAAAATTCAACCTTTGCCAAAAAATTCAACTGAAATCTGAAAATTTTCAAAAATTTCCAAAAAAAATTCGTAGAAAAAATCTCCAAAAATTTTCCACCGATTCTAAAGCTATTCTAACACCTCCAAACCCTTTTTCAACTTTCAAATCTCTTCTGCCTTTTTTTTTCAGCCAGTAACTCTTTTCTCTATCTGTTTTCTGTGTGTTTTTCTTTTAATCCTGATGGTCCTTTTATAGGGATTGATCAGAAGAGTTTTTGATCAATCCCAACTCTTCTTTGGATCGGGATTCAATCATTGAATCCAATATGGACTCTGATTGAATCCCAATCCAATCTTCAACCGAATAAATAAAAAAAATAAAAAAATTAATGAAAATAAATCAGATAAACCAAAAAATTAACAGATAAATTAAAATTAAATAATAGATAAATTATAACAGATAATAATATAAATATATATAAAAAATGAAAATAAAAAAATATAATAATAATAAGGATATATATTAATAAATAGTAGTAATAAATAAATAATAAATACATAAGATAAAAATAAAAGAAAAAAATATACAAAAAAACAATAACAATAATAAAAATGTAAATAAAATAAAAATGAAAAATACAAAAAAAAAGAAAAAAAAATGGGTTTACCCATTTGGACCAGGCCCAATTGATTCGGGCCTGGACCAAATTGGGTGTCTACAGCTACCCCTCTTTGCACATTTTCTATGAAACAGATATTACGCAAAGACGTAAACACCCAATCAAGACTCAAC